TTTTGTGGTAATGACTTACTGGTCTGGCAATACCTGTGCACCACTACTAGTATACCATCTCTCGTCAGTATTTTTTAAAAACGAGAATAAAATATAACATTTTGCTTGAAATGTGTGGGAGTTTTTGGTTTTGTTAGTTTTCACTGCATTCTAGTCTCGCATTTACAAAGTAGGGGTCAATTTGTTTTGTGGTAATGACTTACTGGTCTGGCAATACCTGTGCACCACTACTAGTATACCATATCTCAATGCATCCAAATGTTCACATTGTGTGTGAACTTTAATAATGTATTATATTATAATATCCACGGTGTACATCCACATATTTTGCCACTACTTTTACTGCCGTTCCCTTAAAAACACTGTTTAGTAGAAAATTCTTTCCGTATTACTTATATTATTCTTAACAGTACTACATTTAAATTAGATTTTCATCAAATATTTAATACAATATCCATTATTCAGTGTTAATGATATTTTAATTTACACCTAAAAGGTTTTTTAAATACATTTTTATAATTCAAGTAAAATTCCAATGGAAGTTAGTAGACTAGTAACTTAGACTAGAACAGTCAAATAAGTATCATTTAATCTTGATAATTTTTGATTGAAAGCTTAAAGTTGCTACTTACCATCTATAATATAGATTCTATATATTTTACTTTGTATGAGATCTCACTTCAAAACAATAAGTTTATCATTAATTTAAAACTTATACACTAGCACAAATAGTTTATAAGAGATCGGTATTTCTATTATTGAGTATTTTGTTTACCAATGTATTAATAGTCTATCGGTATTGAGGGCATACTTTTCCCACTTTTGTCTACTTGAACAATAAGTTAACTGTAAACTCACAACAATAAGTCTGCGCTTTAAATGCAACCTATAATACGGCAAAATTAGACAATAATAGTACTGCTATTTTCTATATTTATGCCCATTTGCAAGCATTTATGTTATTGTAATCAACAAAACTATTAAAATAGTTCAGTTAGTAGACAAAACCATTTTAGAAGAGTTTATATTATAATTTAAACGCTTTGTGTTAACTGTTTGTCTGACTATTAGTTAACAAGTATAAAGTTAACAAGTTATATTATATGTGAAAATTATTCCGATATTTATGTCTGCCAAAGAAATATGGCAATTCATTATATTACCTCTTACTCCATTACCTTGTACTTTGTTTTTTCTCGTTTTCAAAAGTATTTAACAATCTTTGTGTCTATTTTATTGCTTATTTGAAAGCAATTTTCTCTATTGACTGGATAAGTGTTCACTCTTTTTAAAACAGTGGTTGCAATCGATTTAAACAATTGTTAAGTTAAACGGTTTGAACGGCAACAAAAAATTAATTATTTATTAGCTTTTTTGTATGTCTTTAAGTTTTTTAGTACCGAATATATGTTTTGCAAATTATTCACTCTCTCCCTCACCTCCACTTCACTCAACTCAACTCAACCCCAAAAATGCCTTTCATTTTAAAACACAGAATATGTAAAGAATTTCTAAATATACCGTTTTTGCCTTCAATTAATAGACTGTTTATTGGTAGCACTTCCACACAAAATAACAAAATAGTTTCAATCAAAACCACTTTATTGCTCATTTAGTTAGAAAATATTTACACATATTATATATAAATTAAATTAAATTAAATATATATATATAATTAAAAATAATTAATGTTATATCACTAGTGTTTTTAATATTACAATACAAATGTCAATAATATTGATTGATTTTCATTTTCACAAACAAACAAATTGTGAAACAAAAGCATTAGATTCTTTAAACCCTTATACACACAAATTTCATATAAAATTTATTTTACAAATAAATATAATAATCATATATTTCTTGATGATGTCTGAAATCTATATTCAAAATCCATACAATTGTTCACAATGTATTGGAATCTCTTAATGATGTACAGAATCTGTTCATTAAAATATTGGTTCAATTAATTAAAAAAATAGTTTTACTTATTAATAAATTAGCCTTTTTTCGGTATAATTACAATGAGATTCGGAGACTAATTTGATTTGAAACATATAAAAACTATTGACTCTATGTGTATACCTATGGTTATAATACAGTACACCTGCAAACACAACACGAGGGAAATAGAAACCAGTCCATGAAAATGCCTTTGCAGTCATCATCGGGATCGTAGGCTAAGAGTCGGTGCCATTTGTATTTCTGTTCACACGAACAGTCGTTATTACATCGCTTTGTCTGCACTGACCTATCATTCAAATCAATGAAAATATGAGAACTCAATCAAAAGCAATCAATTTTTCAATTTTCATATATATTCTCACATTCAGTGATGTATTTATATTGGGTTTATCAATAAACATATCAATGATCAAGTACTCAATTATTGTCAAAACTAAATTGAAATTACTTTATAAATCACATGCAATACGTTGGATATCAATTTTAATGAATTTAAAATATAATGGTATTGTTTTTATTGCAAAAATAGGTGCTATTCCTCGTAATATAGCTTTAATTTTTGCAGACTTTCTATCCATTTGATAGTCAGTGCCAATTGACTCGAGGCCTTAAAAAGCCTCATTTTCAGGAGTACTAATATACCCCCAAAAAGGTCGTTAACCCGCACTCTATGTCTGTAATTATTAAGTATTTAAAAAACCCAAACCATAAAAGAGACGAACATTTTCTAAAAATTTACTGAATTTCTAAATGATTATTAAATTTTCTGAACGAAACGTTTATCTCCATATCTCTCTCTAAATAATGTATAAATTAATGACTCTTTTTTGGGGGTAAAACAGAATTTTAAACACAGAGTGAGAGCAACAAAAAAAAGTGATAAAAAATAATATAATAAGAAATGTTAACATAGAATAAGAGCAGAGAAAAAATTATTAGTTATGGGGAAAGAAAGTTGAAGTTCGAGTCAAATATAATAATTGTTTAGCATATTATGAGTGCCTATGAGTGCCTCCACAGCAGTGGTGTTGGCCCTTGACGTCCCGGTCCCCCCGACGCACACACACACACATACACCACCACTCGCTCACTGCCCCCCACCCTCTAGAATCGTGACTCAGTTGCCGCCGTCTTTTTTAATGATAATCACACATGCAATCAGTCTATACATCCAAAGTCAGAGAAGAGAGAGAGAGAGAGAGAGAGAGAGAGAGAGTCGTATTGAAATTTATTTATAGTAGTGGTGCACACCTATGACAGCCCCGTATTAACTTAGTTTAGTATACAGTAAGCTACACACTTTGTTTTATAAATATAATTAAAGGAAATCTATTTCTAGATTTATATTTTAATTATGTGTTAAATGTATCAATCAATCATTTATAGACACAATAGAAATAAATAATAGACTTTCTATTTTTATTTCATAATTTGATTTTAAAAATTAATATATTAATTCAATAATAGATTTACAGTAATATACAGTATAAATCTACTTTTAACTAATTCTTATTTGTAAGTATTATAAAGATTTATATTGACATTCAATACAATATGCTGTTCATTTTAGCAATAATTGCATAGATATTATACATTGAATATAACATTTACATAATGATCAAAAGCAACAAAACATTTGTTTGAAACAATGAACATATCAATACAATACAAAATGAATAAATTTACTTTAAATTACCATAAATTTAAAAGAATTCATAATTAAAAAGTAAAATTATAATGACAATTGTGTCACATTTTCGCATTTCATATAAAAACAACAAAAATTCATCGAATTTATGATTATATTTGAGATAAAAATGGTTTCAAAAATTATTTTAAATCATAAAAATAACATAAAAACAGACTTATTGTTACCTTGACTCCAAAAATACTCTAAATTTTATTTTTTAATTACAACATTAAACATATTAAAATCTAAATCATATTTAATAAAATGTGTGAATGTTTTCATAGCCTATTCTTTATCAGTATTTCATAAATTAATTCATTTATTAAGCTTTAATTAGCACTGATAAAATGACTGACAAAAAATATTGCTTTGAAAATATTTATCTTGAATTGAAATTCTGTTGATATTACATTGATTTTGAGCATTGATTTGTATTACCATTAATTAAACATTTAATTAATAATTATTGGAACAAGTATGTAATTTATATGCAATTTTTTGATCTCTATATAAGATTTATAACATAAAAACTAAGCAAACATTTAATGTAGAACTAAACCAAGTGTTACAAACTTCTAGACCGCAAATACTATTCATACAAATCTTTTAATAAATAATTTAAAACCAGTACTTTGCTATATAAAATTATATGCATTCGGATGTAAATACTAATAGATTTTAAATTAAATAAAATAAATTTACTTTTTATGTAACTTAAGAAAGTTAAACTTAAAAAGTAGTTTTTATAATGTATAGTATACTAAAGGTTTTTGTTATCTAATCATTAGTAATATAATTTATAATGTATTTTTATACGATTTTAAAAAGTTTATGATTTCTTTTGTTGCCATCCATTATAATAATTAATTAGTTAATATAATTTAATAATACACCACTATTCACAATTATAACATTAAAAATTAACAATATTAATGAACAATGAATTAAATTATAGAAAAAGAAAAATACAATATTAAGTAAAATGATGATTTGTTTAATTAATAATATTATTTATTTTGCAAAAACTTTTTTAGATTTCAAAATCCGGAAAACATTAAGCACTGCGTTCATGCAATTCATTAATTTGACATTAATTTTCCTATGAATTCGTAGTTTTCGCAAAAAATTGCTGTAAAGTTTGGGTCAAGTTTTGTGAATTTAAAATCACAGACAACTTTTGAGACAACTTTTTGAAAACTTATAGAAAAAAGAGTTTTATTTTTTGAATCAATAAGCATTAGATCAAATCAATTAAAACTCAAATAAAAAAATAATATAACCTAATCTAATGAAAAACATTTGCTAACAAATAAATAGTAACATATTCACAGACCTGATCCGTATTATTGGTGATATAGTACTGGAGTTTGTCTCTCAGAAATGGGTCGATAGCGCGAAAAAGTTGACTTTCATTGAAATGTGTGTCCAAATTAATCGCTTGAGACAAATACGAGACATAATTGCCATAAGAAGTGATACAATCGTTCGGTGAATGAAATTCATTGGCATTAGTTTCTGATTGAAGTGAAAAAATAGTTCACAAAATGAGAACATTTTATGAAGTGATGACAGAATTGAATACAAGAATTGAATACAAGAATCGCTTACTTATAGTGTTTCTGCACACGAAACCAATTTTGTTCACACTTTGCAACACATGTGTCAACAAAACAACACTCAATCTCTCGAAACTGATTTCTGTCTCATTATTCTGTCCGATAATAGTCGACAGCCTTTTGATTTGAATCCGATTTGTGAAACACTGTAAACAATCGATTAATTTTAATTTATTATACAATTATTTTTAGTTTTTATTTCATATATTATTGTTAATAGTTCAACTATTAAAAGTTGTAAGTTTTCCAGTAAAGTTACATGCATATGTCATAAATTGTATAAACAAATTTTTTGATTATAAAAATTTTATACGAATTCTAATACAAAAACAGTTAATAGCAATAAAATAGAAATTCATAACAAATGTTAAACAAAAGCAATTCTCAACACTAACATACCCGACAGTTAATATCATTGATGAATAGTCTGTTATAACAGTTATTGATTGTAACAAAGCGTCGATTAAAAGTTTGTAGGATATTATCAAAGTTGTTGTCATCGATTGACTTATCAAATGTTTGTAAAGAATATGTCGATTCAATACAATTGATAGAAATTAAGTATAAGTTTATAATAAGCAAAACACACACTGAAACACAATTAGAAAACATTTTCAACATTAAGTTCTGTACTATTCTTGACTCAAACCAAAAGTATCAAGATCTTCATAAATTTTATAATTTATGAACATTTAGCACTGAATTTGCCAACACTTGGACCATAACTTCATATTTAAACGATAAGTGAAAGCAATTAATGATAAGACCATCACTTTAGTCGTTAAACTTCTTGAAACACTCTATTAATTGATGATATATTAAATGACTTTAATTCCAAAGTATATGTGTTTAGGACATGTACTATAGTTCTGCACTGAACTGTAGTACTGTCTCTTCACTGCAAACAACTGTTTAATTCAAACAAAAACTAACTCAATAACCAAATAACCAAACGAAACGATAGATTTTATTACTAATGCTAAATGTGATGCAAAAGCATTGGTATAGTAAGCCTCCGGCAGTCACTTCACTCTCTCTCGCAAACAGTTTAGCAAAAAGTTTGAGCAAAAAGTTTTGCACAACTTTTCCGCCCCTTTTGCCGTCTCAGTAGTCGTCGAGCAAACCATTGGAGCGCCGATTCAGCGCTAATAGTATTTCCAATTCAATTCAAACTGTGTTTTCACTTTCAACCGGTGCTCAGCCAACTAATGCCACTACTTATTTAGCGCTAAACTAACTATAAAACATGAAAATAATAATAGAGACAGCATTTGTCGTCCAAACACTTGTCACTATCATTGTTTGCTTTGATTCATATATTACTGACACTTCTGAACAATTACACAACAATTTAAGTGAGAGAATATATGACGAAAATTTAATCTATGAATTGAGTTCAATGTTTGAATGCAATTGAAAAAACAATAGGAAATTATTGATGATATGTTAGATACGGTACTGTAAAGTGAATACAATGAGTGCAATAAAATGTGTGGTCCAGGAGGAGAGAGAGAGAGAGAGAGAGAGGCTGAGAGAGCAATGAATTAAAAAATTGAGTGAAAACCTGATCATCAAAATAACAGACATAGCATTGACCCGTTCCTCTATTCCTTAATTCATGTTTTATAGCATTAAATAAAGCAATTTAGTGATGAATGGGAGGAAAGCCTTTTAACTCATAACTAGTTTTGTTGTGTGCCTTCAATCAAATCAAATCCAATGGAGTTTTAGAGTGAAAGTAGAAATTAATGCTTAAAATCGCCGGCATTTCTAACAATCACTTGTATATCCGATTATATTAAATACAAGAGTTTTGAACTCTTCCTCCAGATTTTTGACATTTAATTATATAATTACTTGATTTGAATTTTAAAATACACTCAACTCTTCTTTTTATTGAATGCTAATTGAAATGATATGCAAATTATGTTTATAGTCTTGATGCTAAGATATTAGATATCATATGCTAAAAGAATAAACAATATTTTAAATACTTGTTTCAATTTTTAATATTAGTATACAGAATATTAATCTATCAATTATTTACTACTATTAAACTACATTATGAGAATGTTAGCAACTCATTATACACATAAACATACTATTAGAGCATGTAATTAAAACAAATTGTAGTAAAAATACATTAAAGGGTGTAAACATATGAATCTCTGTTGATTCAATCATAAGGAAAGTCCCACTCTATGTATCTGATCCTGAGTTAAGTGAAAGGGACAATGAATTGATTTATAGCCGGTTAACGAACTCCTTGTCCCAAAGGTGAGTCATCTTTCATTATTCTATACATACTAATCATTTTTTTGCTTAATTAATGTCTATAATATAGACAATATATTATTAAATAATAATTATTTAAATATTCGACAAAATTATAAAAAAATTTTTACTAAAAATATAATCATTTTTATACAAAATATTAATTTGAATAGAATAATACAAAATGAGTATAAAATGCAAATAGTTAAGTTATAAAAGCTATAAATGCTAACAAATGCTTTTATAAAAAGTGTTAATAACATGAGAGTGAATGATCTAAATATTAGTAACATATGTGTTGAAAATATGGTATTAATTATAAATTCTAAATTAATACAAAATCAAACAAAAATCACATGAAATATCACTTAATCTAATCAATAGTAAAACAAATGTCTGGTCCATGTAATGATTAAACATGTATTAGAATCGAAACAATTAAATTTTACATAATCAAAATAAATCACACAATTTACAAATATATAAGTACCTGATAATTAAGTCTATAAAATGCTTAAATAACTATTAATTTAGAGTTTAATATTTCAATATTTATTTGTAGTATCAGTGAAAATGACATAAAAATAATATTAAGAAATTTTCCCAACGTTTTCGGTCATCACTGTGACCATCATCAGGGCTTAAGATGTTATTAGATAAGAGAAAATGTTTTACTAATGAATTATATTTGAAAACCGATGTCTACGTGAATGATAGTATTGTTGTATTTGTTATGAATTAAACTTTTTTAAGAAACGCTGCCAAACATAAGGAATGGCTTCACTTCACCACTATTTCGGTTTAATAAGTCTTTTTTGTTTGTTTTTCTGATTTCAATCGATTCATAAGACTTTCGGTCAAACTGTTATCATATCAGTTATTACGGTCAATAACACATCAAAAAATCTCATCAGGGCTTATTCAATAAGTACGTGCGCAAAATTTTGCCCAAAAATAGACCCCATGCTTTATGGATCATTAAATTATACTTACCGTAATTAGCATTTAAGCCCAGGGAGGTTAAGGTCAATTGAACTGGGTAACTTATAAATAAACTCAGACTAAGTGATAGGTTTGGCAAACTATAACAATATTTGTGGCAAATCACGATTAAACAAACAATTTCAATATCAATCAAAAGATTATTAAAAATATATAACTATTCAAATGAACCAAATGTGTGTAAAGGCAACACAAATGCATAAAGTGTTGACTTTTTGTTTTAGTTTCAATTTACTTTAAGTTTGTTGCTAATGAAAAATTGCTGACTACACAACGATTAGAACTTCTGGCAACTCAGGTAGTTTAGGCACACGTCTTCTGTTAGCGTAAATTTACAGAACCACTTGAATGCGCCCAAAACGGCCGCACACTCGGGACACACCAGTTGTCCCTTTTTATTGCTACAAATCAATGGTAACATCCATTTCATTGGCTCTACAAATATCTTATTGCAGACGCCGTCCGATCCGTTCATCTGTTGGTTGTCTTCCGTTTCAATTTTCAAGACATTCATCTCATCGAAGACAATGTGATCGCAATTCAAGCAGTGATAGGGAATGTCTTTCTTATCACTTCGAGACTTCTTATTCTTATCATTTTGTGTCACTTTCTTGAGGTATGTCTTAATTGGTTCCGAGAACTGGCGCTCGAGTTCTCCCACTTTCGAGTCCTCCCAATACTTCTCGGTCCACATCTGCCTTCAATTCAATTGACATTCAATTTAGCACTTATTCAACGAGAGAGAAAGAAAGAAAGAGAGAGAGAGAGAGAGACTTATACCTCTTGAGGCACATCATAATAAAGGTGCGATACTCGGGTACGAAGACATCCAACTGATACCCCATGTCTTCGTATAGCTTGAGTTGAGCCAAAAAGCCAGGGTTTGGATTGATTTTACTCCTGACGTCTCGGATCCGTTGGACGGCCTCTTCAGAGGTGATGCGATACTTCTTCATGAGGAATGCGGCCATAATAGTGACGGATCGGGAGAAGCCGGCGCCACAATAGACAACAACTTTGCCGTCGTTTTCGTCCAACTCATCGCTCATCAGATCTACGGTTTCGTCAAATCGTGAGATGAGGTCTTCAGTGGGCGTGTCTTTGGCGTCGATGTGATGGAAGCGACAGTTTTGTGGCGTTATCTGCAGCGACAGACCGATGAGATCCGTGGGATAGACAGCGATCACGAGAGTGATGCCCAACTTCTTCAGCGAATACTGATTGTGAGCCAACTCTTTGTTGCCGATGAAGAGGTTGTCCTCCACTTGTGTCACATCACTATCGTTGCAGTCGATGGGCATTAGGAGCAGATTCTGCCTCACGTTTGATGACATGATAATTGTCTCACTTTGTGGTCAAGTGTTGCACTGATTTTCAAATCACTCACAAATCGTGTCAATCATGTGATGAGTCCTACAAGTCGTCCACAAATGATGTCAAATACAGTACTCACACCACTTCTGGCGACAACTTTTCAAGTATTTCTTGGCAACTGATTGTGGTCTCAAATGGTCACCATATCACTGATGGCTATATAACATGGATTGTCTAGCTGATCCCATTAATATTGCATTTGATGAATACCTCAAGAGTGTTATCAATTGAATGCAAGTATTAGTAGTCATATGAACGCCGATGTCATATACCATCTGAGAACAGGTTTGCCCACAAAGTTAGCGCTCACTGTATTGGACACCATTGGATCAAATGAGTGGTGAATAAGACATAAATTTTAAGTATTTCGGGATTTGATGAATGATAACTCAGTTGAAACCTGTACATTTCAAACACTACCCTATATTACGGATACAATTATGTCCCCGGACTCTATTGGACAGGGATTTCATATTTCAAAAGTCTTCGAAATAATAAGTTTCGAGAAGAGCACAAAATACATGAATTTTAAGATAAATCATTCAAACTATTCATAAATTTGAGTACAATTTAAGTCAAATATATAAGACATTTAAATGCGATTGTCTTCTGCACACGGATTTGATGGACTCAACGGTCTTCAAGATTAGCAACACATCAGTCGTTAAAAAGTAATCGTTGTTTGAATTTCATTTAACTTTGATTTTGTTTTGGTCAACACTTTATGCATTTGTGTTGCTTTTACTAACATTTGGTTCATTTGAATAGTTATATATTTTTAATAATCTTTTGATTGATATTGAAATTGTTTGTTTAATCATGTTTTGCCACAAATATTGTTATAGTTTGCCAAACCTATCACTTAGTCTATGGGTTTAGTTATAAGTTACCCAGTTCAATTGACCTTAACCTCCCTGGGCTTAAATGCTAATTAAGTGTAATTTAATGGTACATAAAAAATAGGTCTATTTTTGGGCAAAATTTTGCGTACGTACTTATTGAATAAGCCCTGATGATATT